CTCACTCTCGGTATCACTCTCAAAGACACTCATAAAAGGTATCTTTCCCTAATTCAACAATTCTGATAACATACCAGTATTTTCAGCTGCTCCAACAGTAACGAAGTTCATTCAGGGAAATGCCTCGACGAATACACATATTGCCGTGAGTTCTCGTCACTCTGCATGGATCCGACATTCGGCGACGTAATGGCCCGCCATTGCACTCTTACATGCAAGCGATGTGATGATATTGAAATCAAAGAGGAGTATGGCGGTATGTTCTTTTTCTGCTAATGCTCAACACTCGCTCCAGTCTTCTGTTGGCAATTACCTAATAACAGAGAATAGACAGTAAAGTATGAGTTGGCTTCTCAGACTTTATGAGAATCTAGAAGTAACCAAAGAGCAATTGGGACTGTTCACATTAGTCTTACCTCTCCCGCGAAGAACTGCTGCGTGATATGGATGGATTGGGATGCAGCCGCATCGCATCTGTAACTAGCACTATTGCTCTAATATGATCAATCGACAAGTCAAAGTGCTTGAATAATCAAGGTGCCTTAACAATTCAATATGTAGCATTGGATGTCAAGTTTGAGAGACTCGGAACTTTTCCCAGCTACTTTCTATATAAAACACCTTCATTTTTCAGCGGACTGCTTCGATATTACTCCCGACTGTCGCTCCCATCTCGAGCTGTGCAATCACTCCAAATATAGGCAACTGATGAAGGAATCGTGTGCAAAATCATGCAAACTTTGCCAACCAGCCTGCAAGGACAGGCACAAGAAGTGAGTTATCTGCACAAATGCTTACTCTTTTCGCTGAATGACAGTACATATTTGGTGCGAGCTCGCTGAAAAGAGTATATCTAGCTGAAATCGATCCTCAATAACAAAACAAAAGCGAAGCGGTAGCTCCAGTCTGGAGTACCTCTATACTACCACATTTGTCAAACTCTCAAAAAGTACCCGTCAGAAGCACACCGTACGCAGCAGCTATAATGCGAAATACTCAGAACAAACTAGCGGAACAATACCACCATTTCACATCTTTTACAAATTCGACTCGCTACATCCCAAACGAAGTAGACTTTTCCTTCCT